TAGCAACAAAAGGTTCACTCAATCATGCTTATATGCCATGGACAGAGTAACCAAGAATAATAGCGAACACCAGGGCTAAAGGTGCTTACAAGCCCCCACCAGAAGTCATATATTGTAGGTGGAAAGACAAAATTTTTTGGCATGAAGTTTTTAGTTAGATATATGCTGCAAATAGTTGGTATTTTAGATACATTAACACTGGTCAAGGTGGCAGAGATGAAAATTACTCTAATTTTACATAAATTTCTACATAGGGTACTTACCCCTACTGTCTTCCTGTGTGTTTGAGTTTAAATATACTTATATTAAGTAGTTTTGACTATCAAACTTTTCAAAATAAAAAATGTTATTATGAAAAAAATAAAAATATGATGACGTGATAATTTTTTTAATGAATTGTCTAAGTTATGGTACATTTTAAATTCCAGCCATTTATGAGGTGTCAATAACCTGAGTAAGAAATAACATTAGAAAAAGTGACAGTATTCAAGTAGAAAAGTGACAAAATCACCTTAAATTGATAAGTGAACTATGGAAAACAGTCCAAATATCTAAAATAGATATTTATTATTCTAACAAAAAGTTCACAGAGGAATGCACTAATAAGAAGTCAGATTACATGTTTAATGTTCTTAGTGCTTTAAATGAAAAATATTTATATAAAGTCATCTACTATGATTAACATTCTTCACTCATCAGATACCATAAACTGAATCATTGTGCATATGCTTAAGAGCAATAAATCAACAATTGCTTAAAACTGCTTTAAGCATTTAAAAATGACTAACACTTTCACATTTCAGCTTTGAAATGTGATCACTTATGTTGAGATGTATTAGCTCATTGAATGAGATAAATGATTGATGGGAAATTAATGACAAAATATTGTATATATATATATATATAAGCTGACGTTATGTATAGTGCAACCTCTGAATTTTAACCCACCCAGAAAAAAAAAAAGTTTGCCTGCATAAAGTGCAACCACTTACCAAAAATGAGTTTTAAGCTTTTGCAAAAAAAAAATACCTGCGCATTGTGTGACCCCCTACGTTTTGCATAAAAAAACTAATCATAAAAATTTTGCACTCTACTTGAGTATAAACAGTATGTTAAAAAAAAAAAAAAAAAAAATTAAATGTGTGAAACCAAGTTGGATACTTTACAAACTTTACAGGGGCATTTTCAAAAGACAAATGAGGACCCTTAAGAAAAGTCCTTACCATGGCAACCCTACTATACAAAATGTTGTCAATTTTAAAGTCCCATTGATTTGTTCCAGTTCCTGTACGATCATTGAAGTTAAGCAACATCAAGCGTAGTCAATACCTAAATGGGTGACCATTTGGAAATACCGGATGCTGTAGACTTGGACGTATGGATGGTGTAATGGATAATGGCTTTGAATTGTTAATCAGAGAGCAAAGTTCCAACTACCATTGGGTTTGTTATAGTTGCTTATGTACAAATACTATTGGGAAAGGTATGAATCCACCTTTTCACCCAGCTATAGGTCAATTAGTAAGACTTGTATCACTATACAATTATTATCTCCAAACAAAGAAATTCTTAGAATTTAAAAAAAAAAAAAAAAAAAAAAAAAAAAATTCTGGCTCTAAATAACCTGCAAAGAGTTGATAAGCTGTAGAAAAATGAACAAAACCCATTTATTTGTTCATGGATATATTTTTAAATTTTCTATTGACTGTTAGAAAATTTTAAATTGACAGCAGCATTTTGTGTCGAAAGGTTTCCACAGTAATGACTTTTCCTTAGAGTTTTCATTTGTTTGAAAAAAAATGCTCACATAAAATAGCAAAATGTTAACACTTGAAGAAAAAAAAAAATAATTTCACCATTCAACTGGTTTTCACATATTTCATTTCTTTGAATATGAAAACATGTTTTACGATGCTGAATTTTTGTTCATGAGAAATTTTAGATCTACTTATGAAACAAAAAAATAGTTTTGACCAAACAAAAAGATTTATTTTGCAAAACCTTTAGACTTTGAATAAATTCTTTTTTAACAAACAACTTTTATCTGTCTATATCTCTGAGATGAGGTATTATGATTATTTACATTATTTAGACCGTTATCTTCATCTCCAGCCTTCTTCAGGTGATTGGAATTTCAAACCGAACCCTTTATTTCATCCTCAAGGACACATGGCCCAGTGGATAAAGACATTGGTTAGATCCAGTGACTAGACCCAAAGAGTTGTGAGTTCAATACCAGGCTACAGCAGTGGTGAATCAAAAAACTTTGAGAGTTGAGTTAAAGGGAAATAACCGAGACATTCTGAAGAGGCATGGCACGTGGAACTAAAACAATCTACCCTGGTGGATGAAATAGAAGATTCGGTTTGAAATTCCAATCACTTATGGCCAGAGTGTACAACAGTTAAGAAATGTGAATATGGCCCTGAAGATGAGGATAACAGCCTGAATAATGTAAATAAACAACTTTTGCAATACTGGACCATAGCTGCTAAATCCTCGCTTTCCAGCCTTGATGGAGTTCAAAAATCAATTCCAGTTTTGTGGAGGACTTGCTTCCTACTTTGCAACCACTTTCCATAGAGATATAAAATCACAAGCCTATCATTAATTCCATGGTAAAATGTATAGAAGAGATCCAACTAGTTATTTCAGTTCAGACCTTTACAGCTAGGACATGCCATGCTATAACTCCCCCCACCCCCCAAAAAAAGAACTGCTATTTTGTGGTTTTCAGGGGGAGCATCTATCTGAGAGTATGATCCATAATCTTAACCTCTTCAAGTCAAGGGTCATCCATTATCTATCCTCCACATCTTCATAATCTTCATTGCTTATCAACTCTTTCATACAATTTTAACAATAAAATCTAGCTTGAGTGGCTCTCGAGTATTGTATTGAAGGAGTTTTAATATGTATATATTGATAAATATACATTTTTTTCCTGTAGCACAACTGAGTTTCATGATGCAATTGTCAGGTGCTGATTGAAAACTGACTGTTGCATTATAGCTTAAAGGTTAATCGTAGTACCTTGCCTGCAGTTTTTAAAGAAACATGCATAAATGAAGGATTGCCTAAATTATATATATATATATATATATATATATATATATATATATATATATATATATATATATATATATAAAATTGTGTGTGTAAAAGACTATAAAAAAAAAAATTATTGGAGATGAATTAGTACAGGAACTACTGCAAATTTCTTAACATACTTACAAAAATCTGACCAAATACCTGAATTTTGCAAGGGGAATTCCTTCTTGATCAACCCCAAAATTTCTCAGTACCTCATCACACCATGAATAAAAAAAAAGTTCAAAAGTTTAAAGAAACAGAACAAAGCAGTCTATCAGGATACAATAAATTAGCCTTTATCTTTTCTGTTGAGTTTGTATTGCCATGGTAATGACTTTTCCTTAGAGTTTTCATTTGTGTTATGAAAATGCTCATGTAAAGTAGCAAAACATTCACATTAAAAATAAACAAAAACAAATTATTTTCAACACCCAACTGGTTTTCTCATATTTCATTTTTACATACTTTGTCAGATATTCAACATATTAAAAAAAAAAAAAAAAAGATTTCTTCAGCATCCCAATGTTTAAAAAACAAAGAAAAAAAAAAACTGAATAGTAAATTCATGTATTACAAAAAAAAACTAAAACTTTCCAACAAGTTTCACATGCAAACTTATTGGGTAATTATATTTTTTAATACATTAAACATTTGTTTTTTTTTTAACTTATATTAATTGGTTTTCTATGAAAATTATTTTTCAAAGTCTATTTAATCCATTCTAGTAAACTACCAAAAATGCTAATATTTTGAATATACTTTTTGGTTTATTTAAAGTGTAAATACAATATCTTTGAATCTACAACTATTGATGCAAATAGATTTTATAGAGTCTCCTTCTAATGCCAATGATAATATTAGCAGTTTCCTTACAAGGAAACATTTGACATTCATTGACCAAGCAGCTGATTCTGCTGTCAGTTGAAATTTATAAAATCTTTCTCTTAAAACAATTTTTCAAGGAAAATGGGTTTATCATGTCTAGTAGCTATTATCACTCAAGTACTGATGTGTGGGAGGAGGGGGGTTACACTTCCTAACACTTTATTTGAAGGAGTGTGAAACATCAACATCATATCATTTTCTCTTAGCGTTACATGTGCTATCTATTCTAGCTGTTGGTAGTCCTCAAATAATGTGGGTTCTGTTATTTGATAAAGTTCTTTGTTTCTGATTCTGTAGAGCCAGGGCGCAATATTCAGAGGATGATCTTTGACAAGACACACAGACTTCACTCACTCAAAGCCATTTTTAACCATTGATCTTAGAAAGCGGTTGTATACAACTCAATTTCAATCTGATGGGCTATTTAGGAACATGACTCAAGTTTTTAGGCTAATTTAATTTTTTGGTTTTGTAATAATTTCTGGTTTTGGGCAAAAATACCTCTAGTACAGCCTATTCTATGTTCAATTTCCTTATCTTCTATACTAAATTTGTTATAACTGATCCATACTCTGAGGTATTGGATGTGTTCAACCATAAAGAGTTGCACAGCAAGATCCAGAGGTGAGCAAAGAATAGCCAATTATGGTGTGGAATAATTACTTGTACCTAAGATAACTATATCTTCAAGGAATCATTTAAGAATCTAGAAGACATTTATATTGAACTACATTAAACTCAAGAATAACAGCCTATCACCCTTCTCCACAAATTACTGACTTATTTGTTTTTTATGGTTTATCCACTATTTGCAGGTTATTTAAAGTCATAAAATATTTTTTAGTTTGTAAAAATTTTTTGGAGATAATCATTACTGATACAAGTCCTACTAATTAACCTATAGCTGAGGGGAGAAGTGGATGCAAGCCTTTACAAAGGGTAAGAGAATGTAATGAACCTGATTAGAATTGGAGCTCAACTCTCAAATTTCAAAATCCATTATCTACTACACCACCTGCACTTACTACACTTGGTATTCCCAAGTGGTCACCCACCTAAGTACTGACCAGGCTCAATGTTGCTTAACTTTGGTGACCGTACAAGAACTGGTGTTTCAATGTGATATGGCCGTAAGCCTTCTCTATAAATTAAGACAAACTGTAAAAGGTGGGTAGGAGTAGTAGTAATAATAGCAACAGCATAAACGGGTGGAGTGCATAACATTCATCAAGTGGGGAGATGATGGGAGTTATGAAGAATAAGCAACAGTTAATGTTAGTTAAAATAGGTAGGGGGTAGGCTACAGTGCAGGTGAGCCATAATAACAATAAAGGGTGGGTGGAGACACAAAATGAAAAACCGTTTCATTGTTGTTGAATGACAGGCCCAATCAGGTATTGCAAGGAAGCAATGACAAGGGTTAGAGATATTGCAGTGGGTACATGAACGGCATATCCTACCAATGTGTCATGTTAACTTGCTAAGGATGGGTTATGTATTAATCAAGTAACATTTTCTATGTACAGGCATATCTTTCTCTGTAAATTTACTTATCCCTCTTTGCTATTTTTTTTTTTTTGTTATTTGCGATCATTTTCATTATCAGTCAGCACAAGTAACCTCTAATATTAGTTCACTTTTCTAACTGACTACCAATTCATTTTAAGTTTTTTTTTTTTTTTTTTTTACACAAACATATCCTGTGATTTCCGAAGTCAGAAGTTAAACAGATACTATCACTTTCAGTTACCAAAAGATTTACTGTTCAGTAATTTATTCAAGAGGGAAAAAGAAAATGAGCTGATCATTGAGTTCATTCCCCAGTGAGTTTATCATAATAGCTAATTAAGTAAAACCTATATTATGGAATCTATATGAAGAAATACAAAATTGGAGCTCAATTCTCCTACAAATTCTGAGATTTAAAGCTCTGCAGTAATTTGGTATTTACTCAAAATACTCCCACCTCCCAGGAAGTCATGTTGTGACATAAGGTTGGTTTAATGTGGAGAGCCCGAGCATGTACACCTGGGCAAGAAACAAATTTCCTTGAGCCCCTGTAACCATCAGTTGCACTGACCTTGGTGTGAGCACCAATCCCTCTCTCTAGTGCAATGAGAGGGCATGGCCTTGGGCAGCTGTTCCCCAGGGTTTGCACCTCTCAGTATAATTTTCCTCAGTTGCGACGGTCCTTTGACAGAGTCACCCCTGAGTACACTCTGCCCAAAGAGATGCAACTGAGAGATGATAAATGGGGTGTTACAAGCCATTCGAGAGCAATTTACATACTAAAAGCTCAATATCTGTATTATATATTATCTACTTCTAGGCAATATCACTCTTCAGGTTTAACTAATTTGCATATTGATTTTAAAAATTTTACTTCATTAGTTAACTGTCCTTCATTACTGTTCTTTTATTTGAGGATTGTTTTGATTTTTATATTAAAAAATAGTTTAGGAATATCATCTTATATAATGCAGAAAAGTGTTTAAAATTTGCATTTTACTTGGCATTCAACAAGTTGGCATCTATTTGTAAAACTTTCCTTAACTATAATAAGCCAATTTATCAATGAAAGGTTCATTTAAAATTTTCATTTCAAAGATTTCAAGTAGTGAATATATCTTACTTTGCAAAACGATAACAAGTGGACAAAGTCTGCCTTGTACCATACAAAATGATCAAGTTGAATATCAGCATTATTTAGCTTTCAACTAATATTTTTTTTTCAATTTATTATTAAGTTTGTTAAAATTGCTTATATCTAAAAAAAATAAAAAAATATCAAGGGATATGTTTTTACTGTGTTACATGTTTACTATTTTTTTTTAACAAAAATAAAATATTCTTTTTAGAAATTAAATTCTTTAATTGTGAAAAAAATTATTTTAGACAGTAAAACTTATTAGTGATTAATTTTTTTAGATAAGATTGAAGACCCTTTATTATTTATTTATTAATTTGCTGTGATAATTCATATTTAATTCTTATTAAACGTCTGTAAGAACATTTAAAATTTGCATTTATTTTTTATTCACTGTTCTGCAGGATTAGGTACTCCATGTACTTCATCAAAATATATGCACGGGTTAAACTACAATACATAGGATGACGCCCTTCTGCTTAAAAGTATTATTATTAATAGTATATATATATATATATATATATATATATATATATATATATATATATAAAAGGGTGTCTCTTATTTTTAAGTGCATGCTGAAATTGAATTGAATTTGTTCCATTTATTGGAAAATGCCACATGTAAAATTTTAAGGAGATTACATAATATTTAGAGGGAGCCTTTGTGTGTTAAAACTTTAAAAAGTGGACAAAAAAAAAAATAGACCCTTTTTTATTTAACAATTAACAGCAAACCTTTATTAGTTGAATCTTTTACAAATTATAGACATTAGAAAACTAGAAACATTTTTATCTAATAATGAAAAATTTATATTTTAACTGATGTTTATTACTTTTAGACCCCAATTATGGCAAGTGTTTCCAATGCCAAGCAGAAAAATATACTTTAGAAGTTTGTTCTTTTTGTTTTTTTAAGATTTCTGATGATAACCAAAGTAAAGCAATGTGTCAACTATAGCTAGGTATATTAAGTGATTTACCTAAAGAAATTCTTCTCTTTATTGTTTAAACTCTTACCCAATTTTTTAAATAAAAAGGATATTTAACATTTTTTCATAAGCTTTTGTATTCATTTTCTATTAAATGTTTTATAAATAAATGTACTTTATTAATTAAGTTTCCCAAACCAACTGTGGGATCTGAAAATAATGAATTTTAATCATTGTAGGAAATTTAGAACACTATCGGGAATTGTATCAGTAAAAATGTTGGTATTGTCCCATTACTAATAGGTAATACCAATCTCTTGAATTTTTCAAAGACAATGAATATTACAATTTTCTGTTGGTTTTCAATAACTAGTTGATAATTGGCAGCAGTATTTGATGACTAGTTTAATTTTTGTGCAATGTGTGCAGAAATAAAATTCAGAAATATTTTAAAGCTCCAAACATAAAAATTGGTTTCTAAGAGGTTGATTTAGCAACAAACATTAAGCAACGTTGGCAGGAGATAGTAAAGAAATTTGATCCAAATGCTATAGATAGAATTTAAGTGATGCAATAAACATGTTTTACATGTTGAAACTATGAATGCTGCAGTTTTGGAAAGGCAGGACTCAGAAACACCCACAAGATAATAGAAACAGATTTAGTTATTACAAACATCTAAAGAATTGGAAAGATGAGAAATTGTTGGCATTAAATTCTTTACAAAGAAAAGAAAACTTCAGCATTAAAAAAAATGGACATAAAAGAAGCATATCTTACAACCCTAGATAGTAAGGTAATAAAAGTAGCTTAAAGATGAGTACAATCTGGGTAATTTAATAAAAAAATTTACTGGAACAAATGCTGTTTAAAATTATTCCCAAACAAAAATATAAAGAATTTATTAATAACCAAAAAAAGAGAGAACCAAAAAAAAAAAAAAAAAAAAAAGAGAAGAAAAAAAAAAAGAAGAGAACAAAAAAAAAGAGAATAGAACAAAAAAAAAAAAAAGAACAAAAAAAAAAAAAAAAAAAAAAGAAGAACAAAAAAAAACAACTCCCATTATGAAATAACAGTTGTTACTACTTAAATTGAGTGGTCCACTCATAAAAAAAGAGTGATAGGGAAAATTTGTGGGGATGGGTAATTTTGTTAGATTAGCATCCATTACATCCTACTCATGCTATAAGATTTGTCAGTATCAAAAATATATTTTTTTTATCATTTTAGAAGGTAGGTCCTGAAACTGTGAAATTGATCACTGACTTAACACTTTCATATTCAACACACAAACCCACCTCATAAATATCAGCTCTCAAAGTCTCACTGTGGTTGATCTGTTTGATTTGTTTAACAGCATATCAACTCCTTATGGATCATTTAACATTAAAATTTAATTTTCTTGGGAGCTTTGAAGTAATAAAAATATGATATATGTTATTCAGCTTTCACAATTGAACATATGGCAAATGATACTCAGCTTCTGTGAACATAATTACTACAAGCAGTGATGTGTGTTTTATGTTGCAGTTTTGTTTAAGTTATATTTTGGAATACAGTTTGATTTCTTTAAGGAATTGTAGAATATTATATGATTTAATATCATGAAAGAGTTCTTTCATGTTGATTGGTGTAATGTTGGAAAATTTTTTTATATAAAAATGTATTGCTGGTATTTTTATAATTTCATAGGGTTTTGTTTTTATTTGGGTGGTTAACTATTTGCTCATAGCTGGGATGCTAACAGATGCTATCACACCAGGTCTGGGTGGACCTGGAGACAACAGCAATTAAGAGGTGGTTCCATACTCTTCAAAGTCTCCAATCTCTCGATCAGAGGCCTTGCTCCTCAATATAGTTTATTGTCATACCCAGGACCGACTGTTTGTGGTCAAAGTCTTACTGTTTGCAGGACTACCCATATTATTTGCAATGATGTTGTCATATTATAGCAGAGTAAACATGGGGCATATTACAGTGAGTTGAACATTAAGAGCCAATATTTACATGATGGCAGGTTAAGAGTTAAAGAGTTACCTCTACTTTGTTTTTATTTACAAATATCAAGTTTGAGTACCACTAATGTTGCCTCTTTTTATCAATCTGTGGCTTGAGAAGGGTTTAATGAATGCTAATCAACAAAGATTGTTCACAGATTTGTGTATTCTTCATGAGTGAACCAGTTACTGTATTTGACGTCCTATTAGACACAGATTTTTTTTTCATTAAGAATGCGCCAGAAAATTACCCTGCATCCAATACAGCAGTATTATATATGAGACGGACATGAAGACCATGAAAAAAGTGGTGTTCACCAGTGATCGGTGCATGCATAGAGCTTATCTGTAAAACTATGACTCCTGAAAGTGAAGAAACAAGATATCAATAAAAATATCCCTGAAAAATTCACCCAAGAGAAAGAAATTAAGAAATTTATGGAATTGCCCAATATTTTGCTGCTTGTTTTGTAGAAATACCAGATTTTATAGAAATATTTGCTTTGACTTATATATTGCTGCTTGCAATATATGTATTTTTGTTTATACAGTATTGGAGTTTGCTTTTCTGCAATTATGGTGTGGGATTCATTTACCAACAAGCACCATATTTCTAATTTTTCCCTATTACCATATGTATCAGTGTTCATGGATACCATTAGATTTCTTTGTAACTATTATAAATTTACTGTATGTGCAAAGGTTGCTACCTGAAAAAAAACAAAAACTAAAATAATTTTCAATAAATGCATGATGAAATGTACTAAAATTCTTCTTTTCCAAAAAATGTCCTGGTAATTAAAACATACCTCACTTCTATTTAAAAAAAAAGTACCTGTAGTATAATTTGTGCTAAAACTGTAAGTGTTTCTTCATGGTTAGTGAGAATGTCACAATTTCCCTCTAAATATTCCATGCCAAAAAATCTAGGTGCATCCAACAGGCAGGTAAATATGGTAATTTAAATAGGTCCTAAAAGTTCTTAAAATAAGTATAAAGAATCTATTCCAACAATCCCAAATGTTGATAAAAATATAAAAAGATGAACCAAATGTGGAATTGACATCATCTGCTTAAAGCAAACTGATAATTCTCCAAGAAAATAATTGCTTGTACCAAAGTCCAAGCATAAAACTTCCTTTTACATTGCATATATACACTTATTTCTGTCAAGTATATCTCAATAGTGTGGCATTAAAATTAAAGCAGCAAGCTAATGAGCTTGATTTCTCTATCAACAATTAGATGAAATTTGTTGGCTACAACTCACCTGTAAGAAACATTTGAAAACCTGATTTGGAAGTCTTTAATAATATATAGCCAACAGTGTATACCTAAATACAATAAATTTAAGAGCAACGCCTTTCATTATAAATTTACACACAAGCGTCATAAATTTAAGAGAAAAAGTTAATGTTTTCATGGTCCCTAAATGTAGGGAAGGGTGTGTGGGGAGTGTAATGGACACTGGAATCAGGTCCAAATTACATTCACACAAATGCCGTTGGGAAAGATATGAATGTCTTCTTCCCACAGCTGGAGGTTATATCACAAAGTAAACTGGCAACCAGTAAGAGAAAGAAAACAGAGGTCCATTCTAAACTGGGGAGAAGGCAGCAGAAAACCATTACACTATCTTCCCAAACAAGCCATGGAAATTGTGGAGAACCATGATCACCTATGTCCTGAAGGAGCATAGCAAAAAATAAATAAAAATCAAATCAAAGAAAGGCATAAAATACAGAACGACATTCATGAACATGGCCTTTCTGAGAATTGGGAGAGGGGGAGGGATGATAAAAACAATCCAAATGCAATAATTATTTAAAGCCAATCAGATAATATTTCAAGTCCAATGCTAATGTGCTTCCAAAGTTGATTGTACTCAAGTGACATTAAAATAACAGAACAGAGTAAACAGCAGTTGACACTGGTTTATTTATGTTTAATAAAATCAATCAGCAACATAAACATAGATTGTAAGAATCCATCAGCAACATCTACAGATCTCACTGTAGTTTTATGTATCAGATGTAATGCAAAATTTTCATTTGTTCAAACAACCTGGACTTTGGTTTCATTTCAACCTATTTTCTTTTTAGCCAAATTTGCTGTATTTCTGGTTTATCAGGAATTTCAAACTTGACAACCAGCCCAAATTCCTGGTCTAGCATGAGAAAATGTGTCTTGTTCATTTTTGCTGTGAAACTCAAGCCAAGATAATCACCCTTGAGCCAAGATGATTATTTTGCAGCATCAAATCCACCACATTAACAAATATGAATTAAAATTTTAAGCTTTAATAAAATAATTAATTTTTTTTTTTTAATAATTAAAGAAATCTATGAAAAGAAAGGAAGGAGGAGAGAAAGAAAGGAAGGAGGAGAGAAAGAAAGGAAGGAGGAGAGAAAGAAAGGAAGGAGGAGAGAAAGAAAGGAAGGAGGAAGAAAGGAAGGAGGAGGAAAGAAAGGAAGGAAGGAGGAGAGAAAGAAAGGAAGGAAGGAGGAGAGAAAGAAAGGAAGGAAGGAGGAGAGAAAGAAAGGAAGGAAGGAGGAGAGAAAGAAAGGAAGGAAGGAGGAGAGAAAGAAAGGAAGGAAGGAGGAGAGAAAGAAAGGAAGGAAGGAGGAGAGAAAGAAAGGAAGGAAGGAGGAGAGAAAGAAAGGAAGGAAGGAGGAGAGAAAGAAAGGAAGGAAGAGGAGAGAAAGGAAGGAAGAGGAGAGAAAGGAAGGAAGAGGAGAGAAAGGAAGGAAGAGGAGAGAAAGGAAGGAAGAGGAGAGAAAGGAAGGAAGAGGAGAGAAAGGAAGGAAGAGGAGGAGGAGGAAAGAAAGGAAGGAAGAGGAGGAGGAGGAAAGAAAGGAAGGAAGAGGAGGAGGAGGAAAGAAAGGAAGGAAGAGGAGGAGGAAAGAAAGAAGAATAGTTTGTGATATATATGAGGGTGTATCAATAAGTCTGTAACCTGACAGCTAAATCTAAATATGAAATTTTCACTGGATGAAGTTCGATCTGCATGATTAATATTCACCATTGGATTAACTGCATTGATAATGAAAGATTATGTTGAAAACAATATTTGTTGTTTAAAATAAATGCTTTTTTTCATTATTATGTTATGGACATAGTAATGTACCTATGTCTATGTTCATGTTGATGTTGATTTTAAAATTAAAGTTTCTTACTTACCTCATGGTCTTGTAATTTCCTACCAACTACACGGAATGTGTTGTTAGTTACATGTTGGAATATCTGAACTTTGGAGAGACCTTGCGATACTCCACTAGGGACCCACTTTTTGTTGGAGTCATCATAGATCATCACCGAAGCTCTAGCAGTCACAATTGGCACTTCACTGCAAAAGTAAAGAAAACAAACCTTTAAAACTCTGAAGATTGAACAAGATCAATAACATTTATAGAATAATAATGTATCAGCGTTAAAGAGAAGTATCCTGCACAAATTAAGAAAAACATTTTATTCAACCATTTTTCTTCCTAAAATCAATTAGCATTTCAGATCTATATAGGCTATGTTTTGAACAATAAAAAATATTAAAAAATTACATTTTTTTTTTTAAGACACACTTATTATTTTTTTAGATTCATCAACTAGTTTCGGCCAGCATGGCCATCATCAGGAAAAAAAAAAAAAATTCTGCTTGTTAGTAGCAGTGAACTGCACAAATGAATGACTTGGAGAAAATGCACTTTATCTGTAATTTTCATTTGTTTGTTTTATTCTTTTATCATAAATTTTGGTCAGTCCTTGTGTTAGACAAACAGTCTCTTAAGTTGTTATTTAAGATAAGAGTTGGATGGATTCATGTTACTCATTCAGATTCATTCAAATTCCCTTGGTTCTTTTTGACAGTTTTATTGGCTCCTGGAAAGGGGATGTGTCTTTGTTAAGTGTGTGTTTATTTAGTTTGTAGGGAATGAGTGAGTATGTGTGTAAGTATAGGTGTGTGTTATCATTTAGCTCATTAGGGAGCGAGTGAGTACCATGTGTGTGTGTGTGTGTGTGTGTGTATATATATATATATATATATATATACACACACACACACACACACAGAGTTAGGTAAATGAAATAACTAGATATTAGCAACTGTATATGCATGTGCTGGTGTGCATACACAAGTACGCAAATAAATAATTACCAAATTTTGCCAAGAGGTGTAGACATAATAGTGCTTGATGTGATTAGGCAGAGCTAAGAAATATACATTAATAAATATACATATACCTACATTTGGTGTGGGACTTAAGTTTCGTTGGTTACCCAACTTGTTGGGCACAAACTTGTGCCTGACAAGTTGGGTAACCATTGAAACTGAAGTTGTACACTAAACACATATATATAACACTCCTCTAGTAAAGTAAAAGGAGTAGAATTTTATGTCATTTTAAAATAAAAATAAAATTCAATAATTATTCAATGGTGAATAGAATATTACTTGTCAATTTTGGCAAGAACAAACACTTTTCATCCAAGAAAGAAACTTCTGTATGGATATATTTTTTTGTATTTAAAACTTATTAGTACAAAATATGTATATATTGTACTTTTGATGATGTAGTAGAATTTAATTATTTTTAACTTAACACAGAATGTGCCATAATTTAAATTTTAAGTTATTTTTAGCTTATAGATATTGGGGTTGATAAAAAGGTTCGTTCACTTATTAAGTTGAAAATTTACTTAATAAACTGAACAAATATTTTTGACCAACCCAATACATAGTAGTTTTGAAACTGCTTGTAAAATGTTTTTAAAATATCAAAAAATTAAATATGGCTGTAATTTATTGATGACACAGAGGAGCCTGTTAGTATATAAAAGCACAAGCGATCAAAATTTCTTTGAATAAAATCATTTAATAGAAAATATCTTTACTTGTTGGATTTTGCAGATTGATCTTGAAGTTTAAAAGAAACAAAATGCAATCAGAAGTACTAATGTTGGACAATCTACTTACAGATAGGGAGAAATAGATATGTAGTTTTACTGATGAATCCTAAGACTGAACAGAACATTTATGGAAAATAGGAACTACAAAGAAATTTATAGAATTAGAAAAAGACAACTGAAATTTCTAGGACAAAATAAGAAAAGGTCTTGAGAATTTAACACTCACAGGGCATACTGTAGTCAAGCAGGGAAAACAGCAAATAGCCAACTCAAATTTGTGTGAATAGCTAGCAGCACAAAGACAAAGAGGAATTGTAAAGAGTCAAAAATTAGGACAATAAAAACAGGAAGTTGTGGAGAGACATGATGGCTACATCTTGAAAGGATATGCACATAAAAGATTCAAACTTTAATCATTAATACTGCTTAAATGTTCATGTAGCATCAACAGTATCTATTAACATGCTGACTGCCAGAGGTCAATTATGAGATATTTCATAATTGACCTCTGGCAGTCAAATTCAAATGCTAACTTTATAATAGCCAAGTTAGGTAAAAATAAAAAATTTTATCATTTGAAGTCTTAGATAGTTTTCACATAAAAGTATCACTGAAAATAAACACATTGTTGGTGCCTGCTGATGAAAATCTACAAAGAAAATGCCAAGAACAAGATAACTCTTGGTCGGCATCATAAAAACTGAAAATTACAAATTATCTTGTGGCTGGCAGTCAGTGTGTTAACATTTGCTTAACAGTGAAAATATTGGACTGTAATTCTATAGTTTAATACCCAGATGTGAGTTTAGATGTTTCTGGTACTATCTATTTAAATGTATTATGCTATTGTTCACCCAATCGAAGAATTACTTAGAAAGTAACAGAATGGGGTTGTTTGATGGACATAAGCATTGTTGATTATAAAGATATGTAGGATAGATAATGGTTGACCTTAAACTTGAAGAGTCAGGGAAATATCCTCTCAGGAGTCTGTTCTACAATGCAACAGCTCTTGGGAAGAAGCTGTCAGAATTAAAGTTCCTCCTTAACAATGGAATATGAAAGGAACATAGTACGACAGATTTATTTGTAAAGGTCTGAACAAGTAGAAATAGGAAATGTAACTCACCAGATTATTTGGTAACTTAATCACTTGAAACTTGGGTTTATCTGATTTAGCTATTTTTGAAACACTAGAACTGTCAAATTTTAAATTTTACTATTTGCAATTTTAGGGGGTTACTTTTTAAAGTTAAGCTAGGATAACTTGGGGTACTAATAGAAAAGTTGATTCATAATTTAGTAACCTTGCTTGAGGTTATTTGTCTATGATACCATTTTAACAAAACATTATATCCAGCACTTTAGTACAATGACTGCTTTCACTATCACCATCTAATGAGATGGCTTCAACCATTATCTGATTCCAGAGCAAAAGAAGCAGGACAAAAGAATTTTTTATGAGATATCTTGTCAGCTGCACCAAGAAAAAGCACAGCTTTCATTGTAATTATCATCAAGGAGATGTCTATCCAATTCATTGCTAGAATAAGTCTGTCAAGAATAATTCTAAGAAAAAAAATCCTGCGGAAGTTGGGCAGAGAATTTCTGTTAAATTCTGCATATCATTCAGTTTGTGTTGCAAACATACATATGTAAAGCGAGAGGTTTATCCAAACACACCGCCTGAATGGAATATGGCACAAGGTACAAATGGAGAAAGTACATGTACATGGGACCAGAGACCAAAAACAGTCCAAACCTGTCAGCACTTCTCCTTTGGATGACATCTTAAGCACCAGGGTATGGTCTTAGCTCCTTCCCAAAGGAAAGGTACTACCTTATGTAAAATGTTCCCCAAGACTGGACTTAGTTAATTTTAGTTAAGCATTAAGCTTAGTAGTCTGAATAAGCCTTATTAAGAGAATAGTTATTCTCAAAATTATAGATAATATAAAATATAATTTCAATATTGCAGTGATTCTTAACCAATTTGTACTAGGGCAGATTTATATATCATATCAATAAAATATTGTGTCAGCTGTTTCAATGCCTTCATTAACATCTATGAATAGTCTTGAATCACTATCTAAATAAGAACTAAGAAAAAAGAGATCACTTATCAGCTACTCAAAAAGTAAATCTTGAGATGTCACCAGCCACTCCCAAATGATTAATAAAAAAGTATCCCATCACATAGCCTGCTTGTTTTAACAGTTTTTATATACCACAAAAGTCTTTATACAAGTCCGTAAAGCACACCTAATTGGTATCTAAATTGTTTTGCACTAACATCCTCTTCAAGTATATTCTACTACTTATTCTTTGACAAATTACAACAAAGATTAACACTAAGTGACTGCAATCCCAAGTAAAACTATCAGCTGTAAGGTAAATATTTTTTCCTTTACATGATTATGGTTAAAGAACCATATTTATCACAAATAAAAAACAAAAATTCAGTACGCTTTCTGAGATTACATTTAGGCATTAGGTAGGATTAGTTACAAAAAAAAAAAAAAAAAAAAAAATGAATCCATATTGAATAACGTCTGACAGAAGAGTTTTTATTACTTTCATTATATATATATATATATATATATATATATAGGCACCTGCAACAGAGATTGGCTAACTACTCTAGTAGATGGGCATCCTTGGCTATGAGTGACCAGAATGTATGCAAAGACAAAAGGAAAACTTATCTTAGCCAATTTGTTTTGTTTTCTGATGCACTTTATCAAGGCAAATGTAAGAATTTTATTTTGCAGCAAGTATTTATAAACAGAAGTAAAAATGTTACTTTTTCAAAAAATTTAAGAAATGCTCAAATATTCATCAGACTAACTGAGGTGTCTAGGTAAATTATGGCAGATGCTAAGTGAAGTAATAAACAAAACACGTCAGCTAAGTTTCCCTTTCGTCTTTGCATACATACTTAATGGCTGGCCACTCATAGCCAAGAATGCCCATTTTCCTTTAAGTCCTTTTACAGATATAATCTTTGGTTAGAGTTAAAATATAATAATGTTTGTAGTTATATATATTATATACAGAGAGAAAGAAAAAGTTGTAACTAAACATCAAAATACTGATTTTTGAGAGGCCCCTCCCAAGTAAATAAATATATAAATAAAAAAATTGGTTGGACCAAGAACTTTACAGCACCCAGTCATTCTTATTTATGCTAGTCCCCCCCCCCTAGTACCAGTCTCTTTCAGTATCCCTGATTTTTGAATTTCAAACTACCCTTTTCTTAGACTGGCTGCCCTCCCAAAATTAAGAGCCCTATCTGCCCTGCTATTTATCTCTGATTTTCTGTGACATTAGTCTCTGTTAGAATTTGAACTCAACCTGCTCTTTCCATTGTTCACACCAATGACTGCTATGAAACACACACACACACA